CCCTAATTTTGGGAAACCCACATATCATCATATAGCCCCAGAAAAAGAAATGCCTCGTCCCATGTCGCGGCTTCGGCTTCGCCTGTCGAGTTAAAGAGTCTCTGATTACTATTATTATTTTTTCTTATACTAATAAACATTAATACTACTATGTTTATTAGTATTATTATTATTGCTATTATTATTATTGTTACTACTGTTATTACTGTCATTACTTCTTTTACTGTTATTTCTATTCTATTAGTCTTATTACTATTGTTACTATTAATGCTAGTGGCAGGTGTTCATCTTGGGAGGGGCAGGAACAGAAGGAGAGAGATGCTGGCATGTGCCACAGAAACTCCCGCCTTCTGTAGCCACGTGACCTTGACCTGGTGATTGGCTTCTGCTTGGCATTAAGCTTTGTTGGCCAATGTTTTCCAAGCAGCTTTCATACGTGTTCAGAACCCCCCAAAATGGCTTAGCATCCGAGTATGTGTGTGTGTGTGTCCAAGGGGTACAGCTGGTTGGATGCTTCAAATCACCAAATGCCATGATGATCCTGAAGACCGACGACCTATGCGCTTCGAAGCCACACCCACGCACACCCCACAAGGAGGCACATATCAAGCTCCTTCAAAAACTGAGTTGGGCCCCCACCGGTCGTACCTGTCGCGGTCGTCCTGGGGCTTTCGTAGCTTGGGAGATGACGTCAACAATCATGATGATTATCGGTCCATGGTGACATAGCTTCAGTTTCAATCATGTGCAGCTGAATCTGGGAATCTGCTTTAGAAAAAATTTCATGATCGCATGAGGTCAGCTCCTCTCGGCTTCGATCGCGCTTGGCATCGCGGCTATGAGAAGATCTGAGCGAACCGGATTTATCTCTGCTGGCTGGGCACAGGCTTTTTTGGACGTCTCTCTCTTTGATTTCTGTGTAATTGTTGCCTCTCGAGACGCGGGGTTTGCAGCAGGCCATGTTATTTACAAGCGCTTGCCTCCTTCGAGGCTCTCTCGATCTTTCTGCCTCATCAGACAGTAGAATTTCGCTCGTGTGCGGCTGGCAAGTAAGCTTCACCAAAGTAAGATCATACTCATTGTACACAATACTATACCCAAAAAAGAGGATAGAATCTTACCATACACTGGGAACTACAATATCCCCAAATAAAATACTACTCACCAGGCAATGAGGCTGCGGCCTGCGGACTGCGGTCACGCTTCCCGTCACGGCTGTGCGACGAACTGGGGGCAAGTGCGCAGCTTGAATGGGCAACATGACGGTGATATCAAAAAGCTGTGCCCAAGTTCACCATAGTTTACCAACACCATGTCATGCAGTCTACTAAACGTTGGTGATGGTGTGAGGACCTTCAGATGCCTGCACCAAGCACTTGCCTGCCCCTAATCACTCCCTAGGCACCACACCGTCGGCGGGGATCTCTGGAGCGGTCCTCTCGCTTGCAGTGAGCATTTTTGGACGAAAGATTGTCCATGGGGGGTCATTCGCGGGCGTTTCAGCCACAACTTCGCAAAAGATTCAGCTGCGGGAGCATTTCGGTGGGCAAGGTTGTATGACGCCAGTTCAGTGTGATCTTCCTGGCCGCTTGCAATAAACCGCTGCCGAATCTGCTAAATGTCTTGCAGAAAAATTGCACAGTTCTCAGCCCCGCCACTGCAGTAGACGGTAGTGAGTGTGGTTCTGGCCGTCGTGCCTTCTGGCTGCGGTCGCGCTTGGCATCACGGCTGTGTGATGAACTGAGCACGGTCAGGCGATTAGCATTCCACAACCCTGCAAATCTTGGTTGACTGCCTCCTTTTCAAGACCTGCTCGCTCATAGCTTGTGAGCATTCACTACCCAGGTCCCTGACCGCCGGCGCGGCTCGCGGGATCGGTCAGCCTCAGGAAACAGAACCCAGCGTGTAGAAATTGTAGCGTTTTGAAAATTCTGCATGGTCTCCTCCACAACCTTTTACCTAACATGTCCTTTCAGAATGCAGACACCTCGTTGCACAGACTGGAACTCGCCATGCATGCTGCACTGCTTTCGGTCTGGCTTGCCGTTACAAACAGGCCCCGACAATTTGTTCTAGGCAGGTGGCCCTTTTCTCGCGGCTTCGAGACGTGGCCCGCTTCTCGCGGCTTCGCGACGACCGCCTCCGGGCATCCTTGTCGCGGTTGTCCTGGCCCGGCTTCCTTCCCTTTGCATGCAACGCTATGGCACCAACTAAGATTTCGCTAAGTAGGGCTAAATCGCGGACCTGCTGCAGGTCTGCTCTGCCTGCGGCAAAACTGGCAAGCTTGAGCCCCCTGGCATTCTATGCATAAATGGGAGGGCGTTCCAAGCTACTCCATTGTCCAAAACTGCTACTGGTAAGTTGCTCCTGACAATCAGGCAGCAAGTTTGAAGACTGTCCTGCGGGCTGCGATCGCGCTTGGGATCGCGACTCGCCGAACTGGGTTCATCAGGGCTACGCCAAAATGCCAGCAGCTCGTGAGCGAATTCTGAGTGGAAGGCCGTCGCCGCGGCTCCCTTGAGCGAGCGACCTGTGAAACTGTATATGCCGAGTGGAGCCCGGAACATGAGCAGTGAGCAAGAACCGCAACAGCATGACCGTGCATAACGTGGCATGCGGCGTGCAAGTTATCAAGCATTGCCAGTAAGACCCCAAGAACGCACGCCACACCAGGTGCAGGAAACGCACTCTCTGGAGTACATGAATACATGCAGGAATGAGCATTGCCCTCTGTTTGGGTGCTTGCGTGCGTTCGGAAACAACACGTGCTATGATGGTACGAACAATGCCTACAAGTACATCTGGCTGCAATTGAAATCGCATGCTCGGCAGAATGCAAAATGAGTCATGGAGCAGTTTGCGGCAGTGAGCCTGCCTCTCTGTGGTTGTCTCGACTTCGATCCCGATTGCCACCGCGACTGCGCTCGCGGTTGGCTTCTCGGCTTCGACTCACGGACCTTGAGCGGCAAAGACTTTGCTTCGGACAAATTGGGCATCTTCCTGCAGGGTACAGCTGAGCATCACGTCGGGGGAGCTTCGCACGGATGCTTCACAGTTCGCCTAAATTATCGTTTTGATTTGTCTTGTCCCAAACAAGAGACAACTAAGACGGGACCCACGCACAACGAGGATCCCAAGTATACGGACCCTCAGTGTGAACTTAGAGAAGCCTCCCGCGAAGCTGTACTTGGCTAGTGGCTTCCGACGTTCGCGTGAGCGGTCTTTGCCCTGCACAGCCATGCAGCAATTGTCCAAAGTAGGAGACCCAAAAGGAGGATGTAATCTTACTCTATAATGGGTACCATAGTATCCCCAAATAAAATACTACTCATGTGAGGCTCCAGAGCATGATGCGCGAAGCTGTCACGCGCTGACCTGGCCTCCGACTGCTCGTCGTCATCATTGTCCTTGTCGTTGTCCTGCCGATCCGAGAGCTTCAAGTAGCTTGTCTCGTTCCAGCAGGGGTTGTGCAACGGATGCTGGCAAAGGTTTGCCTACAATCGCAACAAAGAACAAGCGCAAATCCCTCATCACGGCATCTGAGAAATCAAGACTGCCCAGCCTCTTTGCCACCCTCCTCCTCTGCCTGGCATCATGGCTCTCTTTGTGCCTCTACAAACAACCGGCTCTCCCGGAACCTACTACACAGCTGCATATCTTGAATCCTACATGCACTTAACGCTGAATACCGCGAAACCCTAAACTCTCAATGCTGCACCCCCTAAACCCTGTACAAACTCTAAAAGTGCTAAACCCTGGTGCACCGCCCAGCACTGTGTCAGAATTATGGAGGGATTCCGGCGTAGGGGATAATAATCATCTCCCCCTGACAATACACCCTCCACCGCTGGCTCAGGAACATTCTCCTTTAGGATCTAGGGTTTAGGGTTTCTTGGGAATCTTTTTTCATTAGGGAGCGTGTTCTTCTGTGGGGTGTTGATGACAAGGCATGTAACCCTGTATCCCTATAGAATGCCTATGATCCCCCAGCAAGGCAGGTATAAACCCTCAACCCTAAACCGCTAAGAATACCTATGATCCCCCTCCCTAAACCCTAAACCCTAAACCCCTAAACCCTTGTAAGGGTGGGTATAGCCTGTTTAAGCCATGGGGGCCTCAAGGTCGACTAGCTCGGGCTCCGGCTCATTGCTCTTGGCCTGAAGTCTTCACGAGACGGTTTAGGGTTTAGGGTTTGGGGTTTAGGGGGGGTATGGGCCCTTAACACTGAGATCCTTATATGGCTGCTATACACCTTGGGTACTGCCCCCACCCAGTAACAGTCTATATTAGGGGTTCCATTAAGACCTATATATAACCATATTAT